GAGCCGCCCGCGCGTGGGCATCGGATCTGGTGCCTGCAGAGTAGGTAAGATTAGGGGCAGGCGGGGTCAGGGGTCACGGCGCTCGGCTTTCTCCAAGCGGCGGGAGGGGCGCGGGGTACCTCCTGGGCCTGCCTGGGGTCAAAGTTCCGGAGCCAGTATGGGACACCGGTGCTCAGTGCGGGGCAGCGAGGGGAGGTGCGGGCAGGGAAGGCCTGAGGCTCTCGGCCCAGGGTCGAGGGGACAGACGGAACCGCGTTGTTCGAAGGAAGGTCGAGGGGAGGGTGTCGAGAGTGGGGGACCGAGAGCGAACGCCCGAGGTCGCGGACGCCTGTTCACTGACCCACCGCGGCCTACAACAAATGGCTCAACCTCAGCTGGCCCTGACAGGGCTCCGGGACCCATAATCGAGGGTGCAGTGACCCTCCCTGACGCCGCAGAAGAGGTAGACGGGCACAGGGCAAGGTCTCCCGTGACTGCCTTCTTACGGGCGGAGCCTTGGGGCCCCGGCCGCTCCTCAGGGCCTCCTGTCGCCCCACTTCAGCTAAAACTTTAGTCTTGGCGACACACGAGCGTCTATTCGTGAAAGTCGTGTTCAGCCTGGGCAGATCGATCAGTGTTTGTAATATAAAAGGTTGGTTTTAAGGCAATTGTTTATGCAGCTCCTTGGGTCCCTCTGGATGCAGGGCTCCAGGTCAATGGTATCTCGAGAGACGCATATTGGGCACGGTGTGTGGCGGATGCTCTCCTACTGCTTGGTTTCATATGTCTCTACTTTTAAGGCTGTTGTCTGCTTTTTTAAAAAAATTCATTTAGTTTTATTTGTTATTACTGTTGTCGTTATTTTAATTGACCAGAGTGAGAAAGGGAAAGTGAAAAAGCAAGCCTCCATGTCTGGGAATCCAACCGTAGTTAACCATATGGGAAGCCAGCACCTAACCACCACCCACCTGCCAGCCCCTGTCCTATGTTTTTTGATTTTCTGCCCTTGGATTCCTTTTATCCTCTCTGTTTCTCCCCAAATCCCTCCTGTTGTACAAAGATGATTATTAGTGGAGAGGTTGAGGAACCGGACTTGAGTTTCCAATGTGTAAATGACAATATCTATCCTCAAATTGTTCAGTGCTTTCAAAGGGTTATTATGAAGTTAGAGAAAAGTGACATCTCTTTGAAGTGGAAAGCAAAAGTAAAAATTATGTATATGGAAGGAGAGCTTGCAAGGTAGGGTGGGTTTCTAAAAACTTTGGCTGGTCATAATTCTGGCATATGTTGGTGAAACCCGGGGAATGATGTTTACCTTGACTTCTGTAGAATCTGAAGCTTGAGCAGTTTGAATTACTTCTTGGCTGTGTAAACCCTCAACCAAGTTGTTTAACCTCTTTGTTCTCTTGTTCTGCATTTTTATAATGGTGATTAATAATATTTTAGGGACCAGCAGATTGTATAATGGTTACATTGCTGTAGTTCGACGTAGTGGACCACAGTTCGAGTCCTGGAGCCGGCAGCTTAAAACTAGTGCAGGGTGCGTGTGTGTGCATGCCCAAAATCCCAAGAGGAGGATGGAGGAGAAGGGCTTGGGGCATAGCCATAACCCCTGGGGGGGTGATTTCTCGCTTTCTGTCTCTCTGTTTCTCTGGCAAGGAGAGCAAAAATCTCTCTCTCTAAAAAAAGAATATCTTAGAAGGTTTATGTGTATTAAATTAGTTAAAATGCATAAACTGCTTCTAGAACAGTTCTTGGGCATGCAGGAGTGTATGTTTTATTAACCTACATGTGCCTTCTTTTCCCATAAAGATTCTAAGCTAAAGAATTCTGACCATAGTACTTATCCTTTGTTCAGAATCTCATGGCTTGTTAATGATCCCTCAGGCTTGTGGTTTCCATCCACATTATTAACTTTGATCTGAAGGTACAGTGTAATTAGTGACCAGAGGCTTTCTCTTGGTGTTTGTTTTATTAAATAAGGTTGGAAACTGTATTAGGTCATTTACCATCATTTACCATGATAGTTGTGTTAGGTAAATGAAACCTCAGAACTTCTTTGACTGTTTACTTTTTCATTGGATAATATAATTCACAGCCTTGCTTGGCCTTAGGCAATTTATTTTGGATCCAAAACCAAAAAGGCCATGATTGCAGCATACTTTCTTTGTCATGTTTCCGGAATGGCTGTGGGACTTGGAAGGGGAATTTCTGAGCAGCCTGACAGCACTTCTTGCTCGGAATGAGGAAGCTCCATATGAATCTATTCTTATTCTACTGCCAGGAAATCAGTGGTGGTCCCTTGGATTATTCTACAGAGCATCTAAGGTTCCTTCCTTTATTATTATTATTACTATTACTACTACTTATTTAATTTTATTTGTTGTTGTTATTATTATTACTTTAATTTAACCAGAGAGAGAGAGAGAGAAATGGAAAGTGAGAAAGCAAGACTCTGTGTCCAGGACTTGAATTGTAGTCAGCCATGTGGGAGTCCAGTGCCTTAACCATCATGTCTCCTACTGGGCCCTATGGTTCCATTTTTATTTTATTTTATTTTCTAGTCATTTGCCACAGAGCATGTATGCTCACTGAAGAGAGACAGAGACAGTGAAATGGAAAGTGAGACATCACCCCCCAGAGGAGATGGCCATGCTGCAGTCTCTTCTCCTCCATTCTCATCCTGGGATTTTGGGCATGCATGCACATGCGCCCAGTGTAATTTTCTTTTTCCTTTTCTTTCTTTTATTCTTTTTTAAGGATTATTATTTAATTTTATTTATTCATTCACTTATTTTTATTTGACCAGAGTGAGGCAGAGAGAGAGAGAGGGAAAGTGAGAAAGCAAGCTACCAGGTCTGGGACTTGACTGCAGTCTGCCATGTGGGGGTGTCCAGTGCCTTAACTACCACGCCACCTGCTGACCCCCGCACCCAGTGTGATTTTCAAGCTGCCAGGTCCAGAATTTAACCGTTGTTGGTCATGTGGGAGTCCATTGCCTTGACCACCTTGCTAACTGCTGGCCCTTTGGTTCAGTTTTTCCATTGGGGGAATGATCATGCTGCAATCTCTTTTCTACTTCTCTTCCTTTTGGGATTTTGGACACACATGTACCATGTGGGATCCAGCCACCTTAACTACCACACTATGGACGGGGCCTCTATGCCCTTTCAATGAGCCAAAGAATGACTGTCAAATTCTCTTGGTGCTATCTGAGAGACTCCAATGGAAGGCTGTTTGGCCTTCTAATTCTTCCCTTCAGGGAAGCTGCTATTTATATGTGTAGCTTTATTAGGAACAATCACAAAATGAGAAGCACTGTATAAGAAAGAGCACTGCTTACTGTAGTAGCATGCTGGCTAGAATTGGCTGAAGTATAGATGGTATAAGTTTAATTATTTAGCTTTGGTATTCCAAAGTTGGATATTGAAACCTCTTTGTGATTGAATAAGGAGGCAAAGGAAATCTATTTTTTTTTTTTTGAGAGAGAGATTTTTGCTATAGGGCACGTGCGCTCGCCAGACAGAGATAGAGAGACAGAAAGCGAGAAATCACCCCCCGGGGGGATGGCCACACCACAGTCTCTTCTCCTCCATTCTCCTCTCGGGATCTTGGGCACACACGCACACGAGCCTGGCGTGAGTTTTAAGCCACCTGGTCCGGGACGCGAACCGCAGTCGACTACGTGGGAGTCCAGCGACATAGCCATTACACTAACTGCTGGTCCCAGGAAATCTATTTTTTAAAAAGGAATTATTTATTTAATTTTATTTATTATCATTATTATTATTTTTGGAGAGGTTTTTGCTATAGGGCATGTGCGCTCACCAGAAAGAGACAGAGAGACAGAAAGCGAGAAATCACTTCCCCAGGGGGGATGGCCATGTTGTAATCCCTTCTCCTCCATTCTCCTCCTGGGATCTTGGACATGCATGCACATGCGCCCGGCGCCACCAGGACCAGCACTTGAACTCCAATCGACGACATGGGAGTCCAGTGACATAGCTATTACGTCGTCAACTGCTGGTCCCTCAAGTATGTACTCTTTTTTTTTTTTTTATAATTATTTTTAATTTTGTTTATTCATTCATTTATTTTGACCAGAGAGAGAGAGAGAGAGGAGAAAGTGAGAAAGCAAGTCACCAGGTCCAGGACTCGAACCATGGTCTGCCATGTGGGAGTGTCCAGCGCCTTAACCACCACGCCACCTGCTGGTCCCCTCAAGCATGTACTCTTTACACAGAATTTTTCTTTGCTTTAAGAAAAAAATGGGGCCAGCAGGTGGCATGATGGTTAAAGTGTTACACTCTCACATGGCTGACAGCAGTTCAAGTCCTGGACCTGGCAGCTTGCTTTCTCATTTTGGGGCTGGCAGGTGGTGTGGTGGTTAAAGGCTCTGGATTCCCACATAACCAACCACAGCTTAAGTCCCAGACCTGTCGGCTTGCTTTCTCTCTCTCCCTCTGGTCAAATTAAAAAACAACAATGGAATTAAGTAAATAATTATTTTTTAAAAAGCATAGAAGAAAATGTTTAGTTGTTTAGGTTAATCTACATTTGGGAACAAATACCTGTGATCAGAAGAAATGGTTTGAATATAATCTAATGATAATCATTCTTCATACTTGCCAGAGAAAAAAACAGTACTTAAGCAAGTATGAGGGCAAAACATTTTTTCTGAGGCAAGAGGTAGGTATAGATTAATTTCAATAGGGATTTTTTATTTTAGTAGGGAGGGGTCTTTGACATTTTTTGCAGAGTTTAGGATTGTGTTCCAGAATCCAGGTGTCAGACTAGAAGGCTAGGTTGCCCCCCTAAGGGAAGCACACACTGGCATAAAGTTCTGGTTAAGAGAAAGTTCAGAGGAAGCACCCACTGAGAGGGTTGGGAGAAACAAAGACCAAGATATCTTACTGAAAGTAAGACTTCAGTGATGCCGGCATGTGAGAGTGAAGAATTCTATTTAAGGGGCAGTCTCTACTTGGCAAATGATAGTTTTGTCTGAAAGATCAGTACTCGTTGACAGCCTGGCCACATTTCTCCCAGCTGTTATTATCTTTGACAC